TCCTGTCACTGGAATTTAACAAGTCATACCCCACCTCAAATGGAAAGAGTCCCGTCGGTGGGTATCCACCATTGCAAGAGAGATGCTGCTGCCTACTATACAGTTCAGAGAAATCATTTCCCTTCAAACACCTAAAACACACGTCCAACCGTTGCTCACGTGTTGCAGCTTCACCGTGTCACAGTCCTCACTTTTGACTCTACCCAGATCACTTGATACACCTGAGCCTCTCTGGGACGGACAACACATGGGCACACAAAGCAGGAAGGTGCAACCGTTCTCCTTGAGTAAGTCAGGACTACTATTCTGATAGCAATCTGTGGCCCCCACATCTCAGAGAAAAAAAATGCAGCACAGGCCACTGACTTTATAATAAGAGAATGTTTCCAGTATGTGGCTAGAAATAGGTATTTCTGAATTTGGCTGGAGAAATGCCCCCACACCAGCATCCAGTCCACACCACAGAAAACTTCAGACTACTCTCTTTCATCTGAGACACTTGCACAGATATAAATAGTATGAGAGAGGAAGTTTTCATGAAAGCAACACAAAACTATTAATAAGAGACCAATTTACAATTAGAAAGCTCATATAAAAGTAGTAACTGGAAATCTCAAGAACAGTTACCACTTTCCCTCTGTTTATCATCCAGCAGCTTGTAGAAGGCATAGAAGAAATGTAAATCATTTGTGTCTTTAAACACCAACTGTTTATGTATACTACATATAATTTACACACAAGTGACATGTGTATCTATAAAGGCAGATTTCACAATAGCAAATTCATCTTAGTAAGAGGAATAACACGCTGGAGATGTGATGCTGGGCATCTGTGTTATTTCCACATTCAGAAGATAGACTGAATTACTGTATCTCATTGTAAGATGATAAACACACGCAACACTGTAGTAAGTGTCTACAAAAGAGAAAGCAAGACAGTGAAAGAAGGTAGCTGGCAGTGACAGTACCTGATTTACCAGCCTAAATGAAGATGTTATTAAAGGTTAACAGCAGACAGAATCCCTCCGCAGAATATTCCCTCTCGTTACACCTTGGAGTGAAAGAAAAAAAATAATGCTGGGGTTGAACACACCACCTCAGAGCTCCTCCGCTGCTGAAAGCCATCTTTACCCTGTCTCCATTACCAGTTTGAAACCTCCCTGCTAGGCCAGAACTCGGCTGCCTTGGCCCCCTTTCAACCCATGACCCACAAGCACAACTGTTATTCAACAGCTGTACCCAGTTTCCAAGGTGCACAACACCCAGAGATGAAACAGTGTTGGCTCAAAGGAATTTCAGAGGATGTCAAATTACTTCAGAGCAAGCATTTTCAGGGCATGTTGTTGAGGTGTACTTCTTGATGCAGAAAGGTGGGGCGGGGGTGGGGGGGATAAATGACCGGAATGATGCCCTTCCTCACGGAAAGGAGATACACAAATGATAAATCCACTGGGGAAATCACTGTCTTGACACAGTCTACTTGAAAAGTTCACTTCAATTCTCTAAGTGCAGTGACAAAAAATAATGTTTAATCAATCTCCTCGTTACACTGAGATTCTCAGTCCTATACTGCCTGCATTAGTTTTTCTTAACAAATTGTATGTTACTATTTATAATCCAAACACATTGCTCCATACTGGTTACCTTTCTACAGTAGTTCACACTTTTCTATTGTTTATTCTTAGCATTGGAGAAAAACTCCTACAAACTTGGTTTTAGCTCTGATTGGAGTTTTGGCTGTATGAACAAGTCATCGTAGGCTTCCAAGCAAATTAATTAACCTAGCGTGCATGTCCGTACAGATGCTCTTACCCCTCAAAGAGACGCCAGGTAGCTTGTCACTCCCATCCTGCCCTCAGCCCAGAGTAAGCGCCCGCATACCGGTAGCTAACACCACTGCATTCAATAAGGACGGGTTGACTTTACGGCTATGCCCAGTTTGGGCATACATACAACGGGCAAGCCTGCTCTTTGGCAGCATGCTCCTGAAGCACTCGTGTTTTCTGATCCGGCAGTATATAGCTTTGGGGAGTTAAACATTAAAAGAAAACCCTAAAAAACCCAGAAGTGGCTCACCAAGGAATCAGGGCCAGCTTAATGGAAGGAGTAGAGACCTGCATCCTTGGAGGGAGGGAATAGGACCATGCCAGCTATAATGCAGGCTGTGCTGTGAGGTGGAATGACATCCTAGGTCTACTCACTAGCTTATGTAACAGTTATTTATGCACGTAATACCACTATGGAAAGAAAACCACCAGAAGAGAGAACTTTGGAAAAGTTTTACAAATGCTTACCAGTCCAGTACTGTCAGCTGAAACTTGCTGGAAGTTTAGAGAAAATTTCCTGGCTTTTAAGACTCCTTTGCCTATCACGTGCTTATTTGAACGGACAGCCAGGTTGTCAGCAGCACCTCACCTACCCTCCTGACGGTGCTCACAAGACACCAGCGGAGCACTGCAGCGAGTCTCCTCCATCGCACACACCAGATGATGGGGAGAGCTGGAACCTCGGGGCAGCCCGTGCTGGGCACACAGAAAGTACTAAGGGGGGCTGAACGTCCTTGCTGCAGGCTGAACACGAGGACTCTTCTCTCAGTGCATGACATTTTTTGCACGTCTTGAAAACGGGCTGCCGTTAATTTCCTTCTCTCTTCTGTAACACGTCACCCCAAAACCTTCAAAGCACCTTTCATATGGGGAATAACTATGCTTACCTACTTTACTGATCAGGACAACGAGGCACAGTGAGGAGGAGCAACACACCCAAGGTCACTCAGAAGTAAGACAATGTGGATTCCCAGTTCAGTATTTCATTTTCTAGGCAGGACAGCTTTATGAGCATGTAGTTAGTTATCCAGCAACCTATTTTAACAAGCTAATAAATATTCCTGGTAATTCCCCTTTTACCTTACAACAGTAGCAGATATTTCTAAAGAATGAAACCTAATATATAGATAACAAGAATCTCTGCATCCTATATAAAATTAGCTGAGTTGGGGATGAGACAGAGGGGAGTGAAGATGTTACTAGGACTCCTCACACAGGCTTGTTTGGTCTGTTAACAAATGGTTTTGTCATCACCAACTAATGTTTGTATATGCTGAAGACACATTTATGATGACTTTTACATCAGACGTCAAAACCGGTAGTAAAATGCAGAGCAAATCCTGTAAACCAACTGTAAGCGCCACATGGGAACTAGAGATACAGAATTGTCAGAACAATTTTGAGTTGCAGTCAATGTAATTTAGCATCGACTCCCAGCATCTGGCACCAGAGACGTCAGGGGAAAGTACCAGAAACCGTGCAGTGGGTGTGTTACACGCGCGTGGGAAGTTTTCCCCTAGTCCTATGCAAACCATAACTACCAGTTTACATCCTGACTCAGACAAAAAAATTGTCCAATTAGTAAATTAATCTAGCTGATGTGATTGAACGATTTTGTTAAGTTTATCTACAAAACTTCAACGATTTTACCCTGAGTTATACTTCTGACAATGAAGTTCACCATTGATCTCTGAATTAAACACGAACTTCCTCACTGATGTTGACGAAATTACACATACAAAAAGTTCAACGTATTAGGCTATGTATTTTACTATGCATTTTCAAGTTATTAAAAAAAAAAAAACCAAACCCCACTCGACAACCATCAAACAGTCCTTTCTATTTAAATTAAGAACCAAACTATATTACCACTGTGGTAATAAGAGAGGATAGCTGAGGCCTACAGAATATGTTTAACAGGAGTTGACGGTTGTATGACAACTGGCCTAACCTGAATCTACTTGTTTGGTACCCTTAAAGTAAAATATCCAAAGATATTAAAAAAAAAAAAAAGGAACAAAAAAGAAAAAAACGGAAGGGCACCAAATCATTTTCCCAAAAGCTCACATTTAAAGGAAACAGAAAATCTGTTTTCAGAGCAACAAGTCTCCCAGTGTTTATCAAAGCCAAGCAACTCCAGAGCCAGAGCTGATGCAGACACAGAAATGCACACGCTGGAATTTGATGAGCACGTCTCATTCTGTCCCAGTAAGCCCTTATTTTTTCTTG